TAAATTATCACTTATATATTAATTTGAGAAACACAACTCAGTGGTGTCATGAGTATTGTGGTATGTGTGATACACTCTCTTTTATTTGTGAAAACCTTGTCACATTGCAATCCACATGACCAAATTATTCTTCTTTAACAAAAAATAAATAAACTATTTAGTTGAAAGCTTCTTTTTTTTAAGTTGAAAGCTAAAGATCAAGTATTGCTACTATTTTTTTTTAAAAAATATTTAAAATATTTTTCTCATCCCACTCCACCACCTACCCCTACCTCCCCCCGGAAGGCCCAAACAACCCCGTCCTTTTATTTTTTTAGACCTCCCACTCCTTCCTAAAAAAAGTTGATATTATTTTTTCAAAATAAATAAATAATTCTACCCGATCCATCTAACCCTCTACTCATAATTTTTATTTTTTTTTATATTTACATTTTTCTCCTTTTAATTAAGATAATACGTGGAGTGGAAAAAAATAAATACTACTCCTAACATTTTAACTAATATGCTGACATATAGATAATTTAGATTCAAATTTTCAAATAATGCAAAACAATTGAACAGCGCAAGATAACAACTATCTACTATAAGCGTGGTGCTTGAGAAAGGCGTAAAAAGCAGGTAACTATTTACTCGGTTGGATTTTAGAATATTAACGTCAAACTAACTAATATTCTATATCAATTCAGACATAAAATTATCAACTTTTTTTTTTTTTTTTTTTTTTTTTTACATATTAAAAAAGCTACATATAAAGAACTGTTGGTCCTTCGGGATGGCTCAGTTGGTTTGGAGGGTGGTTAACCACACGGATGGCCCGAGATCGATCCCCCCTCAATGTCTTCTGAGTCGAGTCTGTCGCATAGGGATTGCCTAGTGCGGTTTACATCCCCTGTGTGGTTTTGCAGGCTATTACACAGTGGAAGGTTTACCCAGTGCGCACAAAGTGCTCACCACAGAGTGCTCACCCGAAGGGTAGAGGCTGTGGCAGAGGTTGTAGCAGCTGCGGGTTAGAGGCGGATCCAGAATTTTCAATAAGGGAGTTCAAAATCTGTAGAAACAGACACATGAAGTAGCCAAAGGGGTTTCGACATCTACTATATATACATATAAAATTATTTTAACCATGTATAAATAATATAATTTTTCATCGAAGGGGGTTCGGATGAACCACCTTCGTATAAGGTGGCTCCGCCCCTGCTGTGGGTTATCCGGGGGTTCCCAAAAAAAAAGGTTGTAGCGGCTGCGGGTTATCCTGGGGTTCCAAAAAAAAAAAAGAACTGTTGAAAATATAATGAAAAATAATAAAAGTATTAAGTATTATCTAATAGATTAAAGTTATAGATAAGATGATCATACACTTTAATTTGATATCAAAATTTTGGTTCTGACCTAAGTTATTCTATATCCTAAATTATTAGAACCTGTTAAGGTCATGAATTGTTAACGTAAATTTTAGATGAGATGATCATACCTATACGTCGTCACAATAGTTAACAATTCAAAATATGAAGGTGAGAGAATGATTTGACAGTTCAGGCTGTTTCTCGCACACTCACACACGCAGAAATACAGAGATACGTAGCTGTCAGTGAAGCAGAAAGACAGAAATCTTTGATCCTTATTTATGCATGCACCTCTTTGTCCTCACTCTAATCCCTCTTTAGCTTTTTCCACTAAAAACTTATAGAACCCTACTTTTTTTAATATTATTCCTAGGTGAAAAAAAAAAGGGTCTTTTAATTTAATTTCTTGCATTATTATTGGAAGAAACTAAGTGAGTCATACTGTTGCCAAAGCACCAAAAAAAAACTTTAAAAAAAGGATATGTTTGCTGAAAAAGATGGCTGTCAAAGTATAGTTGAGAACTATCACATCTCTCCATCATATTTTCATCATGACATTGTGAACAGAAATTAAGTTAGTCTTGTCATCCCAAAAATTGCCCTTTAAGGTTAACTTGTTCGACTCTCCGTTACCAATATTTGTGGTCCACTCCCCAATCAAGGGTGAAGCACTTTTCTTCGTTGAAAAATTATGTTATAAACTTGAATTCATGTGATTTTCGGTAGTGTTTATCGTAAAAATTCTGATTTTACCATTATTATCTCCTGTTGACACTGTATCAATCTATCACCAATTGTATCATTATTTTATTCTATTTTGAATTGAATGTTCCTTATCAACGTTACACTTCATGTGTTTTTTCTCATATGCAAACACAATGACAGATTCGGTGGATCACTGAACACAATAATTTGATTGGACAAGAGAATATGCTTTAATTCTATAATCACTCCAAAAATTTTAAGTATATATGTATAGAATAAGCATATACCACAAATAGGGTACTGTAGCTATATGAATTTAAATGATCAAAAAACGAATTACACGTTGATCTTGTAATTTTAGACATTTTCAGCATTTACTTAAACATATAATAAAGTGGTATTACTAATCGAATAGAAAATTTGGTTAAAATGAATATTTTCGAATGTAGAAAATCATGAGGTGACATGTGATATGCCATTGAGTGACTTTTATGATATTAAGAAAATATGAATGTATTCATCTACTTTTAATAGTTCAATGACCATTTAATTAGAAATGAACCCCTAGAAAAGTTGGAGATATTAGGTAAATTCCACTATTTAGATCCTTTAGGATATTAACTTGAGCCTTGGGGTTTGCTCCCTTTCAAGGTCTCAAGTTCGAAACCCACTGGGTGCAAACAATTTCTGAGGGCCATCGGACTGGGTAAAACCTGAATTAACCGTGGTGCACTTGCGGGAAACTCCTTGCCGAGGGCCTGTGCACCCCCGGGATTAGTCGGGGCTCAAAGAGACTCGGACACCCGGTGCAAATCAAAAAATATATATATATATATATGATACCAATTACTAGTATATAGTTCTTATGCAATGTTTTTTTTTCTGCACATTACTTAATAACCTTCAATTTGAAACAAGAATTGATCTTTATCTAGCAAAGTCAACTAATTAATGATTAATTAAGCTGTACTAATTAGGCCAAGTAATTGGAGCTAGGAGTAAAGAGCAACTCTAGAAGTAGCATAGGGTTTGAGGAAAAAAGATTCCACTATTTTACAGTAATTGAAATAGTTAGAATGGTCGACTTTTTCTTATGTTCAAGTTGAAAGTTAATCAAGTTACTATATTCTACAATAATTTTTTAATGTCAGTTCATGCTCCATAGAAAGTAGATTAAAGTTCCACTACTTGTGATGCTTATGCTGCTTGTTTTAACAGAAAAGGGTCATACTTGTCCTTCGTTATACTTTTTCAACATACGTGTCATTTTTACCCTTATTCCGTTAAATCTCCATGTCTCACCTTACTTTTCGCTTTATATGTTGTTGTTTACTTTTCTAGTTTCTTCATGGGGATAAGCACATTCTATACTCAAAACAAACCCAACGTCATAGTACATTCATAGAGCGCAGTCTACAATCTATTGGGAAAAAAAGTGTACCAATTTCGAAAATTTTGTTTTGAAAGTATACAATATGGTATCAGAAATTAAAGAGGCCTCCAAGTGTGTGAAAACAAACAAGGAAACCAATAAAGCTTATTTAATAACCTGCCAAAGACTGCTTAAATGTTTTTGGAATCTAATAAAACACCCACCCATTCTTTTAGCATCTTTAAAAAAAAAGAAAAAGGTACGAACGAAAATAAAAATTGAGTAGGTATAAGGCTATATATATAGATGCCACTTTCTTTAATTTGTGGCAGAAAAAAAAAAGCATGCATGCATAGAGTAGTGTGAAGCTAGTTACAATTAATTGGAGGCCAAGACAACATTGTATTGTTGTACTAATAAAGAAGGGGTAGGGGGCCAAGCTAAACCTTTTTACATGTTAGTGTTTTAGCAATGACTAATTGGCCATACTTTTATGTTTTGCTAAAATTGTAGTAGTAAGAAAAATGTCTATGTACTTTGATGATATAAAGACTGTGCAGTGTGCAGCGCTTTGGCTTTCTATGTGTTATTATTGTCTGTTTGCTATTTTCACTGCACATGACTAGACAAACTCATCAACTACTACCCCACATCACTACTAATTCAATACTTAGGTTCCAACAAATGTTTTTTTTTCTTACAATCGTCAAGTACTAAATTCTTCACTGAAAAACTTTTCGTGTTTGATTATTGCATCGTGAGGTTAACATAGTTGATTTCAACTAATACTATAGTTATTATCTCAGAAAGTCACAAAAGAAGATTATTTTCTAAGACTTGATGTTTGTTTACGATTCTCCACCATATATCATAAACTGAAAATGCACATGAAACATACAAGTATAATCGCAGTGGTGTTAGTATAAAGTAGTAAATATTTATGGTTTAAAAAGATTAATCATCCGGAAGTCTACTTGTAACTAATTAGAGGGGTGGAAATGTCATATTCAGAAAGATTCTCCGTTTTAAAGGGTCTAACACGAGAACTCTAATTAAAGACTGAAAAAATTCCTACCAATTCCAGTTCTTGCCTCAAGAAGTTTACGCTCAACTTCAATATTGTTGGGCATAAAATCATGTGTTACACTTATAACTCACGTAAAATTTTGAGGTACACACTACAACCTGTTCATGGATTGCCACTCGTAAAAAAAATTGATGAACACCCACCACAGTATTTATATCAAACCAATTATATATCTTGCATATAGCCTTTATACGTTCTCAATTTAACTAGCAACTCTTTATAAAGACCAGGTGCGGTTAAGTATTTTCCCGATCCATTGCCCCTTGATGCCTTAATCAGTTTTAATTATGATCCATCCATTTTCTGGCAAGGACCAAATCATCATGAAAAACATGAGTTTTGGCAGTGCATCTAATGCATATATCAGTCATCTCTAGTCCACTGCCATATGGAAATGGATCCAGTTAGAATTGTAATAGATCACTTTGGCACCAAATTTCAACCATTGTACTAAAATTTATTTAACTGAAACAAACCTAAGAGGAATGGTTCAATACAACACCCATAATTACCATATCTGAATTGGTTTTATTCTTGCTACAGCTAAAAATAATTGCTACAAAGGTAAGCAGGATTTGTATCGTAATCTTGGTAGAGCAACAAGCCTTCTAATCTTCTATCCTAGTCACTTGGTGGATGTTTCTTAATGTCTTTTGGTACAGAGGCAGCAAGCTAAGTTAAGCTACAACCCAAATTTGTTTTCTCCGGGTGGAATTGTCCATGGAACACTGAGTAATATTGCTTAAAAGGAAGTCAGAAGTAAACAGAAAGGCTATATAGTAATGAACTCAAGATTTTCACTTATCAGGGAAATGGCAGTGACTAGAAGTGCAAAATTCCTTAGAAATCATTGTCTTCTGAATTTTCTTGTATCAACAGATATACCTATTACTTCGAGAGCCAATAGATAATAAGAAACAAAGTGCAAGCTGCAATGACTGCTGATAGAATGAGTGTATCCCTTGATTTCTTCCTTCTAATTGAGCCTGCATGGATCAGTAATGATGTCAACAAGAGATACTTTTAACCAAGACAATTTGGTAGCAGAAATGGTCCCAAAAATAGTAGTACCAATTAGCCCGCGGATGACAGGAAACTTGTCGCCCAGTTGTTTCACTTTTCCTTGAACATCACCAAATAAAGCTCTTTGAGAACCCAAGGCAGCCCTAGTTGTTTGAGCTTGGTTAATCACGTCATCAATCTGGACAAAAGGATCAACACAGTTGAGAAGCAGTATTTGGGTACTGAAGTTCTAGCTTCAAATAGAATGTCCTAGCTTTTGTTTTACATTCAGTCATGAATCATGATAGTTGTTAACCAATACGATCAAGCAGTTTTATGAGGATTGGCATAGTTCTAGATTCAAGGAATGCTCTTAAAGAATCATGGAAGAGCAGATATAAATGACAAGGAGCAACTGTAGAGGGGAAATGATTTGGAATTCCTAGAAAAGGAACCTAGTTAATGAATGTTGCAGAATGGCTGTCACACACATCTGTATCCAGATAGTCTTATGATGTATCCACATTTTAGTTACTAGCCCATCCATAATACAGTAAATGCTATAATGACCGACATATTCAGTGATTATAAGATTCTCTCTAATAAAAGGATAAGTTACAAAGTTCGCTAGAACACATACATTGGTATAGACCCTAACTGCAGCCATGCTACATTCTACAATATGCAACACAAGAGCAAACACCACGAAGAGACAGTGAGAACATCATATTTGTCACTTAATTCTATCCAGTAACAGAAAAGAAAAGAGGGAAAGGGTATCATACCAGGCCATGTCAATGATAGTGTCAACTGGGCCTTACATTACCATATAATTGCTTTTGTTTGTTGCATACTAGAAATTAATAGACTACGGGATAAATTCAGGAATCAGTAGTTATGCTGAAAGAGCATATAGGTGACCTTAGAATCTCTGCGGAATCTAACCTTGAACCCACCAACAACCAGTTCTCTCATGTGATTAGATTGATGTGCTCCATCTAATGTCAATCCTGAATATTTAGCTCCAAGACCACAAGACTATCTCCTGGCTCTCAAGTGACAACTCGGCAACTCCTACCAAGTAAAGCCGACAAGCTCATTCCATGATTAAAAAACTTTTCATTTATGCTGGTGACGATCAGGTCATTTGCGACTTATTGGCACTTCAACTAATGCACCAGGTAGCCTACTGAAGATCATAAGCACAGGTGTTGCTAGATAAACCTACCCAACAAGGTTGGAACAGCTGAGCTAACACTGAGTGCTGTAGCTGCGATTTGAACCAGGAATTTCTAAATTGTTGCTCCTATGTCTCGACCACTCAGCCATCTCCTTGGAGACCCATGATTAAAGAATATATCTTTGACCAGATTATAAAAAATAAATATCAAAAGCAAAAATCAGTAACATATTCTAAATAGTAGCCAAAGCCAACAGTGCTTGGACCTCTACTTCACAATCTTCCTTTTTTTCCTTTTAAAAAGATAGGGCCTCTACGTCACTATCGTAACTTCTAGAATTTGAACAAGAAAAAAGGATGAGTGGTTCCTAATTCTCTCTCAGATATTATGAAAAGTGGCTTTATCTGTAATTTATCACTCTTATTTTATTTTATTTTGGTAAAGATTTATCACTCATTTTTTTACAAAACTACAAAGTTAATTACAAGGAATAAGTACTTCAGTAAACTGACATTTACTAGCTTGCTGGTTTCAGGCTGCAATAGAACTCGTAGAAAAAAACACTTAAAGTACCTTTCATTTTGCTGCATGTTCCTCAAACTTTTAGGTTGTGCACTAGCAATCCAGCTTAATACGTATTTTCATTATAAAAGGAAACATTCTTCAGTTTCACCCATCAAAAGCATAGTCATAATAGAATCCTTTTACTTTAGGTGTAAAGAAAATAGTCTAGAGGATGTAAAACAGTTAGTTGATTTGTTAAGTTCTTTGTAGATACTCTCTGTTTTTCATTTCTTTGGACCTAAAACTTTTTGGAGGTCTCCAGCATGTCCTTAATGCTGAAGAATATAACATTACCAATTTCAAATAGAGAAGAAAGTCATAATAAAATATTACTTGAAAAAGATTGAATTAGAATTTCTAAATAAAACTGTCCTGCTAAATCTACATCAGCAATAGAGCCAAAGTGGCTGTTCTGCCCATATCAAGGCCAGCAGCAGAACTAAGCTGAACTTTCTTCATTGATATTCAGTATAGTATTTCCATGGTAAAATGATGAAGAAAGAGCAAAGGGATCATGCATCAAGATCACCAAGAAAGAAAATTGACTCAAGACAGAAACACAAAGTGAAACTTATAGAACTAAAACTAGTAGAGAAGGGAACAAAGCTAAGTTAAATCTTCAATTGCACATTCAGATATGTCGACTAAACAACTCTCTTCAGATAAAGTAGCAGAAAATCTGGTGGACGTGGAGGAGGACGTAATGGATATCCGTGGAGAGGTTGCCGATATGGTTGTTGCTGTGGGTACTGTTATGTGCAGGGATGTGCAAGGTGTTGTTTCACTGCTCATGAAGCCCCTGATGCTCTATCTGAAGATGATATCAAGAATTGATCATTTTGTGTCCTACAAACTGTTGTTGTTTTTTCCCTTTTAAGCAAGGCATGTTGTTGTCTTCATTTGGACACATATTCATGTGTGTGTTTGTTCAATTGATTGACATTGCCAATGCTTGAATAAATCACTATTATTTAGTGAGGTATTGTGTTTTTTTTTCTCAATTGAATGACAATGTATGCAATTCGGAGTTTTGAACTAGTGAAGTTGATTGTTGTGACTTCAATTAACTCAATGAAACTTACTCCTCCTGTTCCAATTTATATGAAATTTTGGATTCAAAAGTCAAATTTTTACACTTTTAGTGTATAAATATTGAAAGAATTCTTCCTCATGTTCTAATTTTTATGACATTTTGGATTTAAAGGTCGATTTTTTACACTTTTGTGTATGAATATTGAAAGAGTTCTTCTTGGCTAGCTTAATCGCGCGTTCAAGTAGATTATTGTATAATACTAAAAGGGTCAACCTGCCCACCATCTTTTCTGCTACTTGAGAATTTATCATTCGATTGGAGCTCCTATCTACATTTCACAAGGTAGGATTATGTTAAGGGCCATGAATTACGGAATTATTATCGAGCTTGAGATGCACCCTGAAGTTAGCTTCAAGATAGGTTTTGCGCTTCACCTCACTTCACCGGTGATGCAGGCACCAAAGCGTTAAGGTGTGTCTCATTGTCCAAGTGCAGTGTCTCGAAGAGAGCAACACTAAGCAAAAAATATTTCATTTGATTATAATTATTCCAATCCTTTTGACTATGTAATGGTTGTTACGGTCTATAGTTAATTCGGAAACAGCCTCTCTACCTTCTCAAAGATAGGGGGGTAAGGTCTACGCACTCAACCCTCCCCAGACCCCACTTGTGAGATTGCACTGGATTTGTTGTTATTGTTGTCAATTGTGAATTCCTTCATTAAAGCACACAATTTTTTGCATTTAAAGTCTAATAGACTTCAGGGCTTGTTTTCGCATTTCACCTTTGATAACACTGTTTGGAAGGATGTCTTTGAGGTTTAGTTGTCACTAGAATACTCCATACCAAGACCATCACAGAGGATGAAAGAGAGCAAACTCTGTACAAAGAAAATGATGTCTGTAAAAACTAAAGAGAGCACTTAATCTTACATGAGATATGCTTCCATGTAGTGCAGCTCTCTCCCTCAGTATATGCATTTTGGGGGACATACTCCCTGATGCCTGAATCGATACAAATAATAATTTAAGAGGCAATTGAAACTATAGCATCTAAAAAAAGAATTTTGACAATGAAACTTTCTTACCTTATACTCACTGATATCATCTCTCACAGAACTAAGAAGTTCAGCATGTTCCCTCATTGAGCTTATATTTCCCTTAATACGCCTAAATTCCTGAAGACAAGATGATGTGTCAGTCATAAAAACAGTGGCTGGCATAGCCAACAAGCAATTCAAACTACTCCAACATAGCATGCACTCTGAATGATTGCGGTTCAACATTCTTGTATAACCAAAACTTTGATAGTTCAATTTTGAGGATATCTGACTTTCCTTGGGCTCTAGTTAAGTATTCTTTTTCTTTATATGTTAAATCACAATAATAGAGGTTATCTGATTAAAGAGTTCAGCCACAGTTAGTTCCAAGTACTCCCACAAAGAAACTGATACTTCATCAATTAGCAAACCCTCACCAATTTATCCTTTTAAGAAGTATGGAACGGGATACTAATCTAATAACTATCAGAAGAGTTCGCTTGCTAAACACATCAGAATTTCCAAGAGTTTAAGTGAATTAACTCAGTTGACATGGGCACCAGTTAAATCTGCAGCCAGGCCAGGGAAATGGATAAAATATTTATTCTAGTTCGTGTGTTATTTCAAATTTTCCATTACAAACACATGTTGCTAGTTCCAAAAAGGGATTGCAGTCTACAGGATTAGCATAAGCAACAAGAGCAGTGCAGTTACTTTTAGAAACTGCACATGAGTAGTCGGACAAACAGAATTCAAACTAGTTGGATATCAACAAGGCAGGAGAAGATGTCACCATAGCTCTGATTATATACTTTCTTTTTCCCACTTCAGAAAGTTACAATTGTTACCATGTCAAATCATTTATGGTGTATCAGTGAGTATATTTAATATACTATCACATGGTTAGTAACCTGGGTAAATTCATGAAGTATGTCCCTGTGCCTTGCCAGTTTCTGTGTAACAGAAGTGGTAGATGCTGCAGATGCTGCACATCTACTCATAGAATCATTTACATCTAGTAGTTTCTCAAGTAATGACTGAATCTCCATTTCCGTGGACTTCCACGACCTGCTGGATCCTAAAGTTGGGGAACCAGCTTCTACATAACCTGAATTCAATAAAAACAAGAATCAGAAACCACACCACAAGCCGAGTTGTTCAACAAGTTCCAAAATCAGAAACAAACCATATTTGCTTTGTTTGTTAGGTGAAGCTCAAAACCAAAACAAACCCATGACAGCCAATCTAAAGCTTAGGTGGGTAATCAGTAGTGTTGACCCTTAGGTCTTCATGAACAAAGACAACCAACTAACAAATATCTACTGAAGTTTACTCCTGGTCTGTAACATAATTAGACTAATGATGTGTCCTGATCAGTAATTATAGAACAATTTCTGCAATTACAATTTATACTAATTATCTTTTTGCATTAGATTTGGTTGTACCGTACTGTTAACTCAGCTATGTGGTAGAAAATTACATGATTTCTAAACGTTATAAGTTTGAATTATTTCTTGGTAACAATTTCCAGTAATTGAGGGGTATATCAGGCCCTTTTCCCTTAATACTAAAATGAACGGGTATTTGGTAGAGAACTTAAAGGTTTCACAATAAAAGCCTTGTGTTCAAACGGTTGAGGGAATTCTGTATTGAAATGAAGGAACTATGGAAAAAGTCAAAAACGTAAGTTGGCAATGCAAAATGGACAATCAATGATGCACCAAGAGTGTAACAACACCCTACAGGTTAGCAGATTAGAAGCAGAGACTGAAGCCAAATGTATTTAAAGAACTCGTGAAAATCCAGGTGGTAAATAGGAGGAAAACAAGGACGTGGCAGGACAAATGACTGGAAAGCCAACCTCTTAAGGACCAATCAGGTCAACACCAACTAATGCAAGCATAACTGACTGCTTCAACTGGAATCTTAACTTTAGCTTACCTATTACTGACTGAATGGCCTGGTATTGGTAACGAACAGGTCAGATTCTCTGAAGTGGATGGGCAAAGAATGATGGAATTTTCTCAGTTAAATCAAGCAAAGCAGCACAAGAAGGAGTCAATGAGGCCTTGGAAGCTGACATTGAAAGCTAATGTTCCAAGAACTGGCTGGATTTGGATGGATAGCACTCAATGAGGCCTGTCTCACACATGATGATCTCCAAAGGAGTACAGAATCTTGCAGCTTATGTTACTTTTGCAAATCAGACAGACATCTCCAGCATTTCAGGTTCATATGGGATATCTGGTATATGTTCTCAGTTTATTTGGAGAGTTTGGGTAATGCAAGGGAACTTCAAAAGTACAATTACTACTTGGAATGGACAGAATATGGGGAAATGACAGATGTGGATAAACATTCCGCTTTTAATTTTGGACAGATGGATAGAAAGGACCTGCGGATTTCTTGAGGAAAGCTTGTTTTAGCTTCACCACTTTTAAAGTTTAATTATTTATAAAACGTATATTTTAGGTGTAACAGAAGATAGATTAGATGCTATACTGGACTTTTATGGATTCCTTACATGCATGAAGGACCTATTCCGAAACCACTTTCATTGTAACATGACAGTACATACTTAGCACTACATTCAATAGTAAGTGTTACTTTGCATTTCAAAGAATATCTAAGGTGGTTATTCACTTCCCTCAATTAGTCAAAGCTGCAGCAGAAACTTCTTGTCTCAAAAGAATCACTCATTTAGCCATAAATTAAGCTTCAACCAACAGAATTGAACAGGCAAAAAGGAAGATCTCCAAAATGATCCAGACCAGAAATTCAACTCACAGACAACAACATTGAATAAGAAACAAAGTATGATACAACGAATCAAGATAGAAACAATGTATCATACTCTTCCTCAAATAAATATGCACAAACAAAAAGGAGCATGGCATTGATCATTCAATCAAGATAGAAGCTTTACACTTTCTGGGCCAAAACCCACTAACAAGTTGATTTAATAAATCAAGGTAGAAACTGTACACTCTCTCAACCAAAACTGCCTCTCTACCTCCACGAGGCAGTGGTAAGGTCTGAGGTCACCCTACCCTCCCGAGACCCCTGGGATTTCACTGGGTATGTTGTTGTTGAATCAAGATAAAAACTTCATCACTTTCAACATAAAACCCACTTAGAATTCATCCCAAAATTTGCAAAATTAGCAATCAAAATAGCAATGTAGCACCTTGTGTACCAAACCATAAACACATAGATATAATGAATCAAGATAGGATCTCCACACTTTCTAAGCCAAAACCCATCAACATTTTGACACAATGAATAACCGACACATATTTTCCTGTCATATTACGAATTGAAGTTCAAATGCAATTGGGTATAAGCGATTTAGCAAAAATTGAACTTTACCTCCTTGTGTGACCCTAGCACCAAGCTTTGCATAAGAAGAGAGCTTAACATCAAGATCACCTTCGATCTTGCGAGCCTCTTTGCGTAGTTCTTCCCACCCAGATTCTTGCAGTATCTCCATACTCAGATCTAAGGATCTGATTCGGATCCGACCCGATCAATCTTGTAAGGAAAATCCTTCGTTCCTACCGATTGGGGAAATTGAGTTTGTGATCTGACAGTTATTACAGTTGAGAGTTTATGTTTTTTCCCCTTTTGGATTCAGCAGAAGCCACCATTCACCCTTTCTCCAATTGCTTACACACACTGGTTTTTCATCTGTTTGCTTCTCAAAGCCAAACGAGGGAGAAAATTGTCAATTCTTAATATTACTTATATAACCTTTTTAAAAAATTGTACTCACAATTTATTATATAATATATAGTTTGAAGAGTTCAAGAAAAAAGAAAAATCTTTTTAAACTTATGATCTAAAATAAGTTCGATATTTGAGTTCTATAAATTATTTTATTAAAGATAAAATAAGTATTTTAAAGTTAAATTATAATTAACATTTTTTAACGGATTAAAAAAGAAAAATGAGTCATATAAATAGAAAGCGTAGAGTATATAAAATTATAAATTATTTTAGAAAATACTATAAACAATTTATTTCCTAAGAGTAGCTAGTTTTTCGTTTATTTTCCCTTTAGTATCATTTTTTACAAACAAATGGTTTGAGTTGGATGAATCCGTGTACATTTCAATTAAATGAAAATCTATCAAGCATTGAACAACCTATTTGTAAGTGTTAGGGTAATCTCATCCATTAAAATTAGAGTAAATACCTCACTTTAAAATTTGTAATTGAGACTTTTTCTATATATATATAGTGTTCTTGTTTATGTATATGTGTTTAATATTTGTTTTGATTATCTAAAAATATGTCTACTATTATCACATAACAAATTTTCTTCATGCCTCTTATAAGTTACAATTACAATAATGTGATTTTAAGCATGATTCTAAAATTTTACTTCCCAAATATGTATTTGTACAACTCTTTCACGTATTTTTCAATATACAATATGTGTCAATAAAGTATATATAGTATACAATACTTTTGCGCATGTTTTCAAATGATACAATTGATGCCCTCACCTAAATATAACTCTTTCGTTCATACAACTGACATCCTCTTGAACAACTACCTTGCATGACAGAACTGATGTCCTACTGAATAACTACTTAGCATGGTACAACATGAAGTCAATAACAATAGTTATGTTTCACAAATATACAAACTATAGATACATTTCAAAATTACGTTCCAAACTATAGCTATTTTTGAATTTTTCTTTTAAAATAATCCTACATCCTTAAAAGAAAGTAGATGCATCATGCATGTTGCTTGTATTTGTGGTGCTTCAAATAAGGCCTTCAATTAACATGGGCTTTAATCGAACACAAAACACCATGGAACACCAATGTGTAGATAATGGGCCAGATGATCCTATATTCTTCTAAAAATGGGCCTTTACATTACTCACCTAAATTCACATTCAAAATCAGGTAAGAGACTACTTATTTGTTACTCCCTCTGTCCATATTAACTGATATTGTGAAGCGATCTTTGAGAAAAACATTTAAGTACATAATTTAAATCATATTTTTTAATATCATTCTTTGTAAAATAATAAATATAACTTTGTAAACAATGTAATTTATCTCCTAGAAACTATAAAACTTCATTAAAGGAAAGGGTAAAAATGGAAAAAAATTCAACGTCCATTTTGAACTTTGAACAATAAAAAAAACCAAAACTCACTTAATATAAAATAGAGGGAGTAGTATTATTTGTAGGACAACATTATTTACTTTAAAATGAAATGAGAATTATCCATGTATTATTGTTTTAAGCATAACATTTGCGCACTAAGTTTAGGTGATTTATATTTTAACAATTAATAACTCGTAAAGTAAGTAAAATTTAATCAATTTAAATTATATATATTCAACTAATTTTAAACAATGAAGTAAGAAAATGTGATTAACAATCAGTTTCAATGGACATTTCCATTCGGTTTCCTTTTTTGTCTACTAGTAGGACTGAAACAAGTTTAATTTTTGTACGTAGATATATCTGATTAGTAAAAAAAAACTTTAAAATGCTACTAAAAGTTAATTATTAATTTGAGTAAAACAAACTACTACTAGAAGTTTTCAGTTGCTTGACGACTTCAAATGCCATTAAAAGAATGATTTTCTGTTTATTTTAAATGATTTTCTGGTACACAAAATATTTCATCCATAGTATCCAATTATAGTACAGTTAAAAACTGTAGTATCTACTCCTTAAATAATTACTCTAATATTACAAACCATATAACATTCATTATATAAATTGACTTGATTTCAAGACGTATTGAATTATCATTTGACAAGGTTAATTTTACTATGAAAGTATCTGCTCGTTACTGAATCTCGAATGTTAAAATGAGCTTTCATATAGTAAAAAAAAAAAGTGGAACATGCTATTTTCGAAATTTACTAAATATGATAAAAAACAGATATAGTAAAAATTACAAATCAAACTATATACAACTTGATATGATAAAAAGTTATAGGACAGGTCATTTTTGAGTCATTAAAGCAGGAAGAAGATTGATGTAATAATAAACAAACACGATATCTTTATCACATCTCTTCTAATCACTAGACCTTACTTATTTTCTTATATTAATCATCTAATAATTGAAATTCAATGAGGACCAATAATTAATATTTGTGTCGTGTAAAATTAATACTAAGGGAAAGGTGGTCCTTATCAACAATTTTTTTTATTTCCATATATATATATATATATATATATTAA